TCAAAGCGAAAAACATTACAGAAAATCGAAATCAAGTGCGTAAATAAACATAAAATACAGGCAGGACGCGTAAATAGCGTAACGTAGCAACCGCTAAGGCGTGCAAGGTGCCGGCTGCCTAAGCAATCGGCTCCGAGCAGACGTAGCCTTCTTATTGTTTGGGCTTGTGCGTATGTATAAATATAAATCTATATGTATGCGTGTGTGTGTGTGTGTGCGTGTTGTATATGTGCTAGTATTGAAACAATAACAAGCCCAGCAAAATGCCAATGAATTATAACGGAGCAGCGTTCAATGCGGCCGCTGCCTTTGTGCTGCTGCAGCAGCAGAAGCAGCGATGATTCATAGGTAAGTTATGCGACGGGCTTACCGCATATTTAATTCTATATATGTATGTATGGACATAAATAACTCTATGTGTGTGTGGGCCTGGCTTACCGTACGTACGTACATATGTTTATTTGTAGCCCGCAATAATTGTTACAGCAACAACAACAACAATAACAACCGTGGCCGTGCCTTAATATAATAACGTAGAGCAATAAAACATAAAACAAACCATTCACACGAAACGGTAAAATGCCGCTGCTGTCCAAATGCTTCCCTTGCTTTAAATTTAAACGCGAAGAGGTCATCGACAAGCTGGACTATAGCAATACACCGCTCCAGGATGCCTTTCCCGAGGTGTGGCAACACGAGCGCACTCTCGAGGAACTGCATCTGAGCAATGCGCGGGTGAGTTGTAAACTAATAAAAAATAAATATTCATCTCATAATTGATTTATCATTTCAGCTGCAAACATTGCCACCGCAGCTGTTCTACTGCCAAGGACTGCGAGTCCTTCAGGTGAACAGCAACAACTTGGAGAGCATACCGCAGGCAATTGGTTCGCTGCGTCAATTGCAGCATTTGGATCTGAACCGCAATCGTTAGTTGTATAAATGATTATGTAAAATGCATCTATTAATGTAATTTCCCTTTGCAGTAATTGTCAATGTGCCGGAGGAGATAAAGGCGTGCAAGCACCTGACCCACTTGGATCTCAGTTGCAATAGCCTGCAGCGTCTGCCGGATGCGATAACATCACTGATATCGCTGCAAGAGCTGCTGTTGAACGAAACCTATCTGGAGTTCTTGCCCGCCAATTTTGGACGTCTCGTCAATTTGCGAATCTTGGAGGTGCGCCTCAACAATCTCATCACGTTGCCCAAGTCAATGGTCCGTTTGGTGAATCTGCAGCGACTTGATATTGGCGGCAATGAGTTCACCGAACTGGTAAGCGCATAATAAAGTAAAACTCAAATGCAAGGTAATCTAATTTTGCTTCTATTAAAGCCGGAGGTCGTTGGAGAACTAAAGTCGCTGCGCGAGCTATGGATTGATTTTAATCAAATACGTCGTGTGGCTCCCAATATTGGCAAACTGCGAGATCTGCAGCATTTCGAGGCCAATGGCAATCTACTGGACACACTTCCCAATGAGCTGAGCAACTGGCGGAATGTCGAGGTCTTGTCCGTGTGCTCCAATAACCTGGAGGCGTTTCCCTTCAGCGTGGGCATGCTCAAGTCTCTAGTCACCTTTAAATGCGAGTCGAACGGCCTCAGCGAGCTGCCCGATAGCATCAGCTACCTAGAGCAACTGGAGGAGCTGGTGCTAAGTCACAATAAGCTGATGCGTCTGCCCAGCACGATTGGATCGCTGACCAAACTGCGCTTCCTCTTCGCCGATGACAATCAGCTGCGGCACCTGCCCGACGAGCTCTGCAGCTGCAGCCAACTGAGCGTGCTGAGCGTGGCCAACAATCAGCTATCTGCGTTGCCGCAAAATATCGGACACTTGGCCAAATTGAAGGTGCTCAATGTGGTTAATAACTACATTAATGCGCTGCCCGTTTCCATGCTGAGCCTGGTGAATCTCACGTCTCTGTGGCTCAGCGACAATCAGTCGCAGCCCCTGGTGCCGCTGCAGTATTTGGATGCAAGCAGCAAGACGCAGCTGACGTGCTTCATGCTGCCGCAGGTGACATTCAAAATGCAGGCGCAGCAGCAACAGCAGGTCCAGGATCAATACGAATTCGTCTACGCGAATCATGCGCAACAGCCGCAGCATCCGTCGAGCCCATCACGTCGCATTTGCTTCGCCGAAGAGGCGACCATTCTAAGTGCCGGCGGCACCAATAGCAATAGCAACAACAACAGCAACACGAACACCAACAGTGCACCACATCCCGCGCCCAGCTACCCCGCCAGCTATGTGACGGCACCGCCCACTCCAGAGCAGCTGCCCGCTGGCAGCTCGGTGCGTCTGATGCGTTCGCCCACGCCCTACCCCAAGGAGCTGCGCCAAATGGCCAAGTACATGCGACAGGCGCAGGCGGCGAACGCAGCGGCAGCGGCTGCGGCGTCAGCGTCATCGAGTGAGGTGCGCGAGGCGCGTGTCGTGGTGCCCAATGGCCAAGTGGCCATGCCACACTGTGATAGCAATCAGGACGCTGTGGATCACACAGCAAGTGCAATATATGGCGTTGCGCCCGAGGCGGCCCACATTTATGGTGTCTACCAGCCGGCGCAGCAGCAGACGCCGCAAGAATATTATGGCATGCCGCTGGTCAATTACGATGCGCATTACCAGCAGCTCTATGTGGATGCCAACACTTTGCCGCTGCCAACGACGCATTTGTCCAATGGCACCGAGGAGAACTATGAGCTGCAGCCGCTGCAACAGCCACCGGCGGCGCCACCACCACGCATGGAGCCGCCGCCCTATCATATAGCGCGAGTGTATACAAAGAAGACGCCGGAAGATCTCACGCTCTACGAGTCAATGCGACAGCGCAAACACCAACAACAGCAGCAGCAACAACAGCAGCAGCAACAACAAATGCAGCAGCAACAACAAATGTCGCCAACACAATCGCTTTACGAGCAGAGCAACCAGAGCTATCAGGATGCACTAAACAGCAACTTCAAGACGACGGCAATCGGTGCGCAATCTGAGGAGCTGGACTACCAAAACAATATCAACATTGAGCAGCTGGAACTGCAGCAGCAGCAGCTGGAGCAGCAACAGGAAATTGATGAGCTGCAACAGCAGCAGCAGCAGCAGTTGCAGCAGCTGCAGGAAATGGATGACACGTTATCGCAGCACTCAGTCAACTCCACGGCCACCAACAATACGTCCAGGGGTGGTAAAAAGTCAACCTGGATATTTGGTGTGCACAAGAATCCGACTGTTAAGCAAGTGACCCTCAAATGGGAGCACAGCATTGGCTTCGATGTTGCCGAGCTGCTTAATCAGGTGAATACTTGCTGTAATATTATTTGGAGCTTCTAACTAATCATTATTCGGTTGCTTTTCAGGTGGGGATCTTTGTGAGCGCCATAACGCCAAATTCGAATGCTGCGCGGCTGCTGAGCCTCAACGATAAGCTGCTGGAGATCGACGGCTATGACCTGACCAATGCCAATCTGAGCGATGCCAAACGTGTTCTGCATAATTGCGGCACAGTTATTAACATAATGCTGTCACGCAAGTGACCACCCCATCCATACCCCACTCCCCCCATGCCTCTATATACCGAGACCGAAGACTTTTGCGCATTTTTCTAAAACAATTTTGCAATAAGCTAATTGAAATTTAGCGAACCATAAATATTAACAAATGCATTTCCAAGCCATAAACGTCCTTTGCACTGGCGCCTTAAACTTATAGTAATTAGAGTCACAGACGACATAACATAACCAGCTTCCAGTTGATGCATTTCATTTAGTTAGATACGATTTCGAATGTCATTTAAGATACGCGGCGAAGCGTTATGTATGTGTAATTCTCACCATTATGTTCTCAACAAATTGTATTCTCTCGTTGGTTTAAAACACATTGATTATATTATATGCGAAACGGTGGTTTATATTTAGGTATTCGAACTGTAAATTAAGTTAAATGTATTTCCCTTTTTCGCCTCTGAAACTGTTTTCAAACTTGTTACTTGATCGTAAATATTGTATTAAACTTGATAGCTTAAGTATTGATTAAGAATGAATTAGTTTTTCGTGCGGAGCTTCAAAGTGAAATAGTACTCAACTGGTATTCAAAGTAAAGCAATATATTTTTGTTTCTTTTCGGTTAATATATGTATATTTCTTGAAAACATTAAACATATTTATTTGTATCAAATTCGTATAGTCTATATTATGTTGGAGTCTTCAGTTAATATATTAATATTATAATAGACACATATACAAATATAGAAAGGTCGCTCTAAGTTTAGTTTTTATCTAAGAGTAGGCCTCTATTTTGACCGCCAGTGTAATTCATAGCAAACATATAGAACATTTAATAAATAGTGCAATTAGCGTTGATAATACGTACATACAATTACGAGTACCACATAAACAGCATTTACAACCACACTTAAATACATATATATAGTATATATATACATACAATATTTACAACTAGCGCCTATTTTACGCCCAGCGTTGTTTAAATTTGTTCCAAATTGAAATCAATATGTGCTTAGAATAAAGTTAAAAATATTAGCTGTTTATGTTAGTTGTTATGGAGCAGCAATATAAATTCGATATACATATATAAATATAAATCTATGTATTCTATATTTATTGTCTAGAGCAATCATTTTGTCTATGTAAAGTTATTCACTTCTTGAACAAATTGGCGTTGTGAACAGTATTATAATTTAGCAGATATTATCAATATCAAATTATGCGAGAGTTGAACATTTCTATATCTTTATAATACATTAATACATACCCACACATACACAAATACGGATAGCTTTAGGACGCACGTTACAAGAACAAAAATGTTATTTCTACGCGCTACAACAAATCATCCAGAAAAGAAATTTAAAAAAAAAAGAAGTTTATTCATAAAATAAAGACATGAAATTTTCACTTAAACTAACGTTCTGAATTTTTTTAAATAGTAAATATAAAAAATTTAATTGATTAAGATTTATAATTAAATTAATTATTTTAAGTCTTCCAACGGATTTCAGTATTCTCTATCTAAGTTCCTGAGTTAAAAACAATGTTACAGGTAAATGGCTTAACGTCTCCGATTATTTTCTACACGCTGCCTGTGTAAATAGAGCAGATAAGGAAATATCACTTCGCTTTCTTTCAGCCTTTCGGCTCGAACTGCCCTATATATAGCATTCATAATATAGGATTCTTCGGAATTATAGGCCCAATCGCCTACATTGCCTCTGAGAGGTCCAGTTACCACATACTTTGATATCCAACGTTCCTTCTTAAGAACTTGTCTAACATCACGCATTAGGGCACTTGCATTCATTGTCTGGTAAAATTTGTCTAGGTCAACATTCTTAGGCTCGGTTTTCTGAGCGCTCAAACATATAAATTGATAAAGAGTTGATTTATTTTCTCTCCTAATGACTTCCATTCCAACCCATTCCAGAGGATACTCGCCATTGACAACTTCCATTGGACTTGGATTTCCCACTAGAATTAAACTCAAATAATTCATGTAGTTCATCTTGATGGCATCTTGTTCCGGCTTTTTGAGATTTACGCCTTCTGTGGGATCCTCAATGAGCAATACTTTTGCTTTCTGCGTTGATAGAGCTTTTAAATGGTAAATAATTGGATATTTATTTAGTTATTGTTATTTTTTTTTTTTTATTCTCATTTATTTATTTATTTTTATTATTATTATTATTATTTTTAATTTTTTTTTTATTTATTTATTTTTTTTTTTATTTATTATTATTATTACTTTTTTTTCCATATACGAAATCTAACTTACGTCTTTCACCTTCAATTTCCGTTTCTTCATTCATAATTATTTAAACTATATTATTTTTCTTTTTTTTTTTTGGCAACGTTTGTATTGACTCTCTCTCTGGCTTTGTTATTGGCAACAGCCTTCGATGACGCTATATACGCAGCCAAATACTAAACATTAGTAATTTCGCAAAACAGTCAAAAGCTCTTCGAGAAAGCTTTTAGTTCCATCTAGATAAAGCTGCAATTAGCATGCTTTTTTTCTGTTATCTTAGACTATAAGTATATATTTTTATATTTAGAATCAGAATATGAATATAATTATTGATTGAACGTTTTCCATTGATACAAAGAAAGAAAATCCGGCACAGCTGACTGACTGACTATGACTTATGCCCAAAACAAAGCTTTACGAGCAACTCTTCTGTACAAAATATAAATAAATAGTATTTATTGCTCAACATAAATTTAGATAGGTAAAAAATACTTGTATGAGTAAAAGTTAATTAAGGTAATTAATAAAATAATTAAGTATTCCTTATAGAGCTTAATTCCTGAGTCAAAGGCAACAATGGCTTAACGTCTTGTATTATATTTTGCATATTGCCTGTGTAGATGGAGTAAATAGGGAAGCAATACACCCGATTCTCGATGCATTTCAGCAATCAGTGCATCATAGACTGCACGTCGAACATACATTTCCTCGTCATGGCGAGTTGGGTTAAGTTTGCCTTTAATAGGTCCAATCATCTCATACCTTGATATCCAACGTTCTTCCTTAAGAGTATTTCTCACCTCACGCATCAAGGCCTGTGCATTGATCGTTTGGAAGAAGTGAAACGGATTTGCATTCACGGGCTTTGTTTTCTGTGCGCCCACGCAGTAAAATTGAAAGCGAACGGGCTCATTTTCTCTTCTGAAGGATTCCATGCCAAACCATTCCAATAGATACGTGCCATCGGCTTCGTCTTTGGGCTTATGATTTCCCATTAGGAGTACGCTAAAATAGTTTTTGAACTCAACTTCCAAATCTTTTAATGTCTTTTCAGGCTTTTCCTGGTTGGAGTCTTCCGTCTCGTCTCCTATTGCTAATATCGTAGTGCTTACTGCTGCAAATATGTTAGATGTTAGCTTATATTTTGAGGGACATGAATTAACTCTTACTTGTATCCATATCTGCTTTATCGTTAGCCATAATATTGTATTTATTTTTTTATTTTGCTTTACTTCTGCAGATTATATCTTTTGGGTAAACAGAGAGACTAACAACAGGTCTCTCTCGTTGCTGCTGTATTTATAAACTGACGCTAAACATATGATTTCATAATAAAAACTTTGAAAGCTCAGCAAAAGCTTTTGGTAAAGTTATTCAAAACATTGAAGACTTGTTATAACAGACTTAACTACATATGTATGTAGATATGTACATATATACTATGCCCAAAAAAGTTAATCAAATTGTGACTCATGCAAATCAATTTAAAATCAAGTATTGTTATAAAATATATATCTGTTATATCTTTAAATACTATTAAATGGAAAACAACTTAAATCAAGCAATTATACAGAAAATTTTACGGTTGTTGAAATCTCTTAGAATGTAACCTATCGTTTACATATTGTTTGTGTAAATAGAGCAGAAACTGAAAGACTTTCAACTTTTGTTCACAGAGAATATCAAGGGCCAGATTGTGAACGTAGTAATCATCCTCAAAACAAGGGCGCGAGCGAAAAACTTTCGTTTTCTTGGGAAATTCCAATACATTCTTTGATATCCACTTTTGGTCTTTCAGTCGCTTTTTCAACTCGTGCATTACTGCATCAGCATAAAAAGTCTGGCCGAATACGCCATGCATACAGTCCATGTATATACCCGGATAGGAGCTGGGCAAACACTGAAAATGGTAGCGTCTGGGTTGATTATCTTCTTCAATTGTGTTCATTTCCAACACGTCCATCATAAAACGATCATTGGGCACACAGTTTCGACTTCCCAATAAGAGTTGACCAAAATGCTTCTTACAGTCATCATAAAAGACTTTTTTATCAAATACGATTGCAGGCTTCGTTGGCTTGGAGCATTCTCTCCGATCTCCAATGGACAATACTTTCACTTCTGACGTTAATAAAGCTACAACTGAAAATAGTCAACTTTAATATTTACAACAAAATTTTAAATCAATTAACTTACTTCTTTCTGCTTTTTTATTATAATCATTATTCATAATGGATTCAGGTTCAGTCTCTATCATTTCTTCGGTATTATATATCAAAGCTGACTAGCAATTTGGACAGTTCTGTCGCCGGTATAAATAAACAAACTGAGAGTGATATACAAACATTTCACAACAAATATCAACAAATCTATTCTCGATTGGAGCTTTTTAACATGGCTGCGTTATGAAATGCCGAAACAAAGCAGCACGAAGCACAACTTGTGACGTCACAATGTAAACTTGATTATAGTTTCTATATATATATATATGTATGTAGATTTTAAATACTTTTCGAATTTGACTTAAAACTTGTCGATCAACTATACAGCTTTTAAGAATTTAAATTTTCTCTAGATATATAATAAGAATATAATAATATAAAAATAAAAATAAAATAAGATAAATAGATCTTAAGCTTTGACTGAAAGGCAGTTCCAAAACGTGAAAAATAATGTTGTTTTTTTTTTTCAGTTTTAATTTAGATAATTAATCTATAAATGTGTTAATCTATTGATTTTAACAAATTATTATCGATGCTGCGTATTATGTGCATGTTCTCTGTGCAAGTACATCAAGTACGGAAGTACCTTCGCTCTTTGAATATTCAAGGCTTTGAAAACAAAACCTAAAATATAAAACTCCTCAGGCTTATAGGCATTACGGTATACGTCTCCTTTGAGTGGACCTACTATAGCATTCTTGGATATCCAATTTTCCTCCTTCAGGAACCGTCGCACATCACGTAAGACGGCATTTGCATTAATTGTCTGATAGAAGTAATTTAGATACGTATGCCTGGGCTTTGTTTTCTGTGCGGGGTAACAGTAAAATTGATAGCGAGTGGGCTGATTCTCGAAGGCGAAGGTTACCATTCCAAACCATTCAATGGGACACAGACCACTGACATCGTCGACTGGCGCTGGATTTCCCATCAAAACTAAACTCAAATAATTTGTGCAGTCCACGCTGAAACTATTCTCGATCGTAACTGGCTTAGCTTTTCTGCGACTTACGACTTCCTTCGGATCTCCAATGGCTAATACCTTTGTTGTAGAGGTCAGTGTCGTTAGAGCTTTACATGTGTAACAATTGGAATTTTCTTTATTTTATTATTGTCTTGCAATGCTCGAAATGTAACTTACTTGTGTCATCTTCTGTCTCCTGTTCGTTGTACATAATTATTTTGTTATATATATTATTTGTTGTGGGTTAAGTTTGAGTGCCTTGATTTTATTATTGTCAAACGTCTTCAATGCACTGCAGACTGCAAAATGATAATCATTAGTAATTTCACAAATCTAACAAAAGCTATCAAAGAAAGCTTTTAGTTCCAGATAGAAAACAACTGCAGTTTGAATGAAAAGCTTTTGAATGATTTTATATATTGTAATATTTATAATCAGAATATCTGGAATATTAATAAATAGGCTTAAAATGTTAATGTAAAATAAAAAATTTTGCAATATTTATATTATGATTAACTTTATCAGTTGTTAAAAAGAAAATACAATTGCAACACAGCTGACTAAAAAGCAAGGCTTCAAGCAATTAGCAAATTATACTATACTGAAATACTATACTATACAAAGTAATTATTCAAAGTGTTTCTTCTAAGTGTTTCCTCTAAGTCTTTTTCTCTATTTCTTCTATGTCTTTCCTCTAACTATTTCTTCAAAGTATTTTTTTAGTATTTTCCTAAATGTTTCTTCCAAGTATTTTCTCTAAGTTTTCCCTCTTAACTTAGCTGAACGATCATTAAATATTTACACACACTACTACACTTCACTTTACTAAGCACAACTGACTCCCACCAGGCCTGGACGACTGAAGAAATGCTGGAGCTGCTGCCCTTTATATAGGGCGACTCTCTCACACACACTACGACGCTCTCAAATGTTGAGCCCGGCGACAGGTAGAGATCGTTTTAATCGAGATCTAAATGACCAATGGGAGCAGTCGGTGCTGCTGCAAGCATTCTAGCTTCGTTTTACTTGAATACGAAACGAATACCATTGCATACATAACTTCGGTATCTCTTCGTTTCCCTTACTCTTGGTATGCAGACAGCCAAAGAGCGGAAATTTTAGCGGGGGGCTCCGACAAGAGCTTTATGGCTTGTTCCTATTTAACATACATTTTATAAAAAATATAACTTAAAAAAGTCTTTCTTTATTCTTTTAATTATCTTACCTAACTAATTTAATAAACCAATACACAAAGAAATAAATTAAAGATTTCTAAGAATTGTGCTTATCGTTTACATATTCCTTGTGTAAGTATAGCATAAACTGAAGTGCTCTAAGTCTTTGCTCATGGAGAATGTCGTGAACTATATTCTGCACGTAATACTCGTCTTCAAGGCAATAGTATGAACGACCAATGATTTTTCTTGGCATTTCCAGTGTATTCTTCGATATCCAATTGTGGTTTTTCAGTCGCCTTTTCAGTTCGTGCATTACTGCACTGGCATACAGTGTGTGGCCAAATATGCCATACTTCATAGAGCTACCCGGACAAGCGCCGTGATGACACTCAAAGTGATATCGTCTGGGTTGATTATCATTCTCGATTGTGTCCATTTTAAACAAATCCATCATAAAAATATTATTTGATACAAATGGAGTTCTATTCCCCAATAAGAGTTGGCCAAAATGCCCCCTACAGGCATCTCCAAAGATTTGCTTATCAAATTTGAGAGCTGGCTTCTTTGGCTTCACGTATTCTCTCCGATTTCCGATGGACAATACTTTGATTTCTGACACTGATAATGACATAGCTGAAAATAATCAAAATTTATTATTTTCAAATGGCAGAAACGAAATTTTAACTTACTTGTTTCTGCCTTATCAGTATTGTTATCCGCAGCTGGTTCTCTTGTTCTTGCAGTCTCTATCATTTCATTGGTGACTAACTCTACTCGGTTGAAATGCAATTAGAAAATGCCAAAAGCCCTCCGCTGCGCCGACAGAACTACTAAACTGAATGAATGTAATACAAAGATTTCACAATGAATGTGTTGAAAGTTTACATAAAGCTTTTTAGTAAAGTTACATTATGAGTAAGGTTCCATTATGAAAGTCCTGAACACGACAGCGCGATTCACAACCTGTGACGTCCCAATGTAAGCTTTAATATTGTTTTGAACATACATACATATATGCTTTAAATACTATTATTAGGATATATGTGTGCTTAATGTTAGTCTTAAGTCGTTTAAAGTTGTCTTATATTGCATGATTCATTAAAACCCAATAAATCAGAAATATAAAAATTTTGACCTGCTTTTGCTCTATAAGATCTATCAAACAATATTAATAGTCACCATACATATACAAGTTAACACAATCGACCAGCAAAACATAAATGTTCAGATTGATCACGCGCCGTCAGCATGAATGTAGCCGTTCCCAGCGGATATTGCACAACAGCAGCAGTGGCTCCAACGCGCAACAATGTTGTTGCCCGAAGTAATGCGATGCCTCGCGTAAATATGCAATGTCAGCATAATCAGGGTTTAGGGCTAGCTTTGGATATAAGAATTTATGTCACTGTACTTTAGTTGATTTTTGATAATAAAGAACGTCGGTCGTCGCCACGGGATTATTGAAGTCTACTCATTTTGTGCAACACCGCACACTAACATCTAACAACTACAGCAAAAAAGCTTAATTGGCGCCCAACCGAAACGAACCCAAAAAACAAAAAAAAAAAAAAAACGAAATTAAAACTTCGATTAAAACAAGCATTCAGTGAGATAAATACCCCACAAGTGCAAAAAAAAAACAGCAAGACAACTAAAACGCATAACCAAAACGAAAAAAGAAAAAAAGAAAGCAGCATTAGACGAAGCAGTACGCAGCGAAGACACCCACCACGAAGCGGCTCATCAGCGAAGAAACACACAACATACAGTCTACTAACATAATATAAGAACATGTGAGTAGAGTGTTCATTGCAAAAAAAGAAATTAAGGAGTAAAAACAAATAAAAACACAATTTCAACCTTTAAATATTAATTATTAATAACAAAAAACGCAGCACGCAAAATTCCCTGTCTTTACTTGCCCTATGAGTGATAGTGAAATACAAGATTTAATAACAAATTTTCGAAAAATTTACAACACAGAAAATTTAAAAATGGCTTTGAATTCAGATCAATTAAAAGCTATAGTAGAAGGCGCAGTCGCAAGCGCTTTAGCTGCTCAAAAAGATAGCTTTGATAGAAAATTAAACGAAATTGAACAACGTATAAATTCAGTACAGGTTAGCGCACCCGAGGTAGAAACTTTCAAGGAGGCAGAAATCAAAATAGGTGTTATTTGCAACGAAACCCTTGACATCATGAAGTCCCTCCCGGACTTTGAAGGAAAAAGCGAAACTTATGTATCTTGGAGAAAGGCTGCGCATATCGCATACAAGGTATATGAGAAATACGATGGTAGCTCAAAGCATTATCAAGCTTTGGGAATATTAAGAAACAAAATTAAGAACGCTGCTGATATGGTACTCTCTTCTTTCGACACTCCTCTAAATTTTAAGGCCATTATAAATCGGTTAGATTTCACGTACTCCGACAAACGACCGATATACTTAATTGAACAGGAGATGTCAACACTCCGCCAAGGAAATTTGACACTACTGCAGTACTACGACGAGGTAGAAAAGAAACTGACTTTACTTATAAATAAGACAATCATGACCTACGACACCACCGTTGCCTCTTCGCTAAATGAGAAATATAGAGCAGACGCCCTGCGAGTATTCATCTCAGGAACCAGGAAGGCCTTAAGTGATGTCCTATTCTCAGCTAGACCAATTGATCTTCCCTCTGCATTGGCATTGGCTCAAGAAGTTGAGTCAAATCATGAACGTTATATGTTCGCCACAAATTTCGCCCGCAGTATAGAAGAAAAAGCGCAGAAGATCGAACAAAGACAGCAAGTCAGAGACAAGACTCTAGCTCAAGACCCAAAACACAACCAACCAGGAAAAAGCCCACACTACAAAAGACCAGAATTCTCACCACGACAAGAACAGGTAGAACCAATGGACGTTGACTCATCTTCTCGCTTCAGACAGGCTACGCAACACCAACAAAACGCGACCTTCTCGAAACAGACTCAGTGGCCAAATCAACAACGACGCACTCAATACGAAAACTACAATAACCAGGGACAGGCAAACAAACGACCAAACAGCGGTAGCGCACGGTTCACAGGACCGAAACAGCAAAGAGTTAACCACCTAGGAACAGAAGATACAGAATACGAGCAGGACAATAGCGAATACCAAGCGATCGCAGAAACCGAGACAGAAGACGTTGACAATGAATTGGACGAATACGACCAGGTCAATTTTTTAGGAATAAATCCCTGCTCCCGTTCATAGAGAGAACGATAGCAGGGAAAACCATAAAGTTGCTAATAGATACCGGAGCCTCAAAGAATTACGTGAGACCATTAAAAGAACTAAAAATATTACGCCGGTAGAAAAACCCTTTCGATTAAAATCAATCCATGGCCACAACGTAGTTGACAAGAAATGCATAATGCACCTTTTTAATACCAAGACAACATTTTTCTTATTACCAAACCTCACGACATTCGATGGTATAATCGGACTTGACCTACTAAACCAAACCAACGTTTTATTAGACTTCAAAAAATAAGAAACTAACAACAAACTATGGTTCTGAGACCATTAACTTTCTAAAATGCCCAGCCGTAAATTTCACAAGTGTCAAAGAAATAGAAGCCCCTCAGGCTATAACAACGGAATTTCAAACAATGCTCAAAGCCCGAGCAGGAGTATTTGCGGAACCAAATGAAGCGCTTCCGTATAATACAAATGTCATTGCAACTATTAGAACAGAGGACGAGAATCCCATTTATTCAAAATTATATCCATACCCAATGGGCGTATCAGAATTCGTAAACACAGAAACTCAAGATCTGTTAGAAAACGGTATAATACGTCCGTCCCAGTCACCATACAATAACCCCGTGTGGGTTGTAGATAAAAAAAGGTACCGACGAGCAGGGAAGAAAAAAGAAACGTTTAGTTATAGACTTCAGAAAACTAAACAAAAAGACAATAGATGACAAATACCCCATTCCCAATATAGCCTCCATTTTATCCAACTTAGGCACAGCAAAGTACTTTACAACACTAGATTTAAAATCCGGATTCCACCAGATTTTACTTGCCGAAAAAGATAGAGAAAAAACAGCCTTTTCTGTAGGAAGCGGAAAGTATGAGTTCTGCAGGCTCCCTTTTGGCTTGAAAAATGCACCTAGTATTTTTCAGAGAGCCATTGACGATGTGCTCAGAGAGCAAATTGGAAAATCTTGTTATGTTTACGTAGACGACGTAATCATTTTTTCTGAAAATATGGAAAGCCATGTCAAGCATATCGCCTGGGTCCTAGATAAACTATACGAGGCCAACATGAGAGTTTCACCAGAAAAGTCGCACTTTTTCAAAGAAAGTGTAGAATACCTAGGTTTCGTAGTCTCAAGTAATGGTATAAAGACATGTCCAAGTAAAGTTGAAGCGATTCGTAACTATGAAGTACCAACAACTTTGTTTAACGTCAGATCATTCCTTGGGTTGGCAAGCTACTATAGGTGTTTCATCAAGGACTTCGCGTCTATAGCAAAACCTATAAGCGACATCTTAAAAGGCCAAAATGGCAAAGTGAGCGCCGGACAATCCAAAAAAAATTCCAGTAAAATTTGACGAGAGTCAACATGCGGCATTCGAGAAGCTAAAAGAGGTTCTTGCATCCGAAAATGTAATGTTGCTCTACCCTGACTACAAGAAGCCGTTTGATTTAACAACGGACGCTTCATCCTCTGGTCTTGGGGCAGTTCTGTCACAAGGTGGAAAACCAATCACCATGATATCAAGAACATTAAAGGATAGAGAGCTTATCTTTGCAACAAATGAGAGGGAACTACTTGCAATAGTTTGGGCTTTAAAAAAACCTCGAAATTATCTATATGGGGTAAAAAATTTAAATATCTTTACGGACCATCAGCCTCTGACGTTTGCAGTATCCGACCGAAACCCGAACGCAAAAATCAGGCGTTGGAAAGCTTTTATAGATGAATATAACGCAAACATCTATTACAAGCCAGGGAAGGAGAACTACGTTGCGGACGCACTGTCACGGCATAATATTCATGCCCTAGAGGACGATGTACAGTCAGACAGAGCCACAATTCACAGCGAAATATCGCTCACATACACCATAGACACAACAGACAAACCAATCAACTGTTTCCAAAACCAAATTATAATAGAAGAAAATAATATAGCCTCTGATCGTACAGTTATCCTATTTGGTAAGAAAATCCGACATACAATTCATTTCTCAAACAGAGACTCGTTAATCAAAAGAGTTTGCGATGTAGTCAAAAAAGATGTCGTAAATGCAATCCATTGCGAGTTACCAATATTAGCATTCATACAACATAAACTAATAGAAACTTTTCCAACAACAACATTTCGATATACAAAGTACATAGTAAATGACATTTTTGATAAAAACGAACAGAAAGAAATAATTGCAACAGAACACAATCGGGCTCACAGAGCAGCCCAAGAAAATGTGAAGCAGATTTTACAAGACTATTTTTTTCCGAAAATGACAAAATTAACGAACGAAGTTGTTTCAAATTGTAAAATTTGTAAAACAGCTAAGTACAATCGTCACCCACAAAAACAAATACTTGGAGAAACACCCATACCTTCCTATGTGGGCGAAATACTACACATAGACATATACTCAACCAATAAAAAATACTTCCTTACGTGCATAGATAAATTTTCAAAATTTGCAATTGTTCAACCCATCGCTTCAAGGACAATAATTGACATACAATCAGCAATTTTACAACTTGTAAATTTTTACCGGCATACCAAGACGATCTATTGCGATAACGAGCCCTCCATAAAGTCCGAAACAATAAAATCTCTGCTAAACAATCAATATAACATTCAAATCGTAAATGCCCCACCACTCCATAGTACATCAAACGGACAAGTCGAGAGATTCCATAGCACCCTCGGTGACATTGCAAGATGCCTAACAGCTCAAAGGAAAATTACTGACACTGTTGAAACGATACTTCAAGCAACTATCGAATATAACAATACAATTCACTCAGTAACGGACAAACGACCAATCGATATAATCCACTCATCCTCCCCAGAACTCGAAATAGAGATAGGAAATAAAATTCAAAAGGCACAACAACTCCTAACAAATAGAGTAAACGAAACAAGACACAATAGACAATTCCAAATAGGCGACACAGTTTTGGAAAAAACAAACAGACGCTTAGGGAACAAACTGACACCACTATACAACGAAGGCAAAATTGACGCAGACTTGGGGACAACAGTCTTAATAAAAGGGAGGGTGGTCCACAAGGACAATCTAAGATAGGCAAAACATTAAATTCCCTTTTTTATCTTTTTAGGATTTGGACTATACTTCTTTTTGCTACAACGATAACAGCGAAATTGACTGACTATACTAACATGGACTACATACCGATCTTGGACGGATACGTAACCATTTGGACGGATTTCCAATACTTGAAGCACTCAACCAACCTTACCCTATACTCAGAAATAGTAAAAAATACGAAAGAATTAGCAAACCATTTCCCCCGATCACATATGAGAATGTTATTAGACGCAGACATACAACATATAGAAACATTAATAGCTACAGTAAATGTCCACCATAGACATGCTAGGGAGTATCAATATGCTAGGCACCGTTCTAAAGGTCGTAGCTGGCACGCCAGACCATGATGATTTCGAGAAACTAAAATTTACACAGAATGAACTTGTAGAGTCAGAAAATAGGCAGATAACCATAAACACAAAAATGCAGGAACAAATTAATAAGCTAACTGACACCGTAAACCTCCTAGTAAAAAACACAAAAGTAAAACAAGTAGACACAGAGCATTTATATGAAACGCTGCTAACAAGAAATAGAATAATTATCTCAGAGTTAAAAACCTTAATACTATCAGTAACACTTGCAAAGGTTGGAATTGTAAACCCCTCCATTTTGGATTCCACTGATTTAAAAAACATTGTTAATGAACACTCTATAAATATCACTATTACTGACTTAATGGAAGTATCTCAAATTAAAGTTTTGTTAAGCGAAAATTTTCTACATTTCATTATAAGATATCCTAAGCCTAGCATAGTATGTAAAAAATTAACCGTATACCCTGTCCAACACAACGGCATCATAATAAATTTCGCCGAAGACTACAATTTAGCTGACTGTGGAAATCATGTAATATCAATAGGAAATTGTAGTACAGCCCTCACAATAACGTTCTGCAAGAAGTCACCCTACACAACATGCGCTCAACAGCTACACTCAGGTGACACCGCACATTGTTCAACTCGGCCCAGCCACCTCGAACCTCTAACCATAGTCGACGATGGAGTAATCATCATCAACGACGGAGCAGCTACAGTCAACGAGCAGATGGTAAAAGGGACGTTCCTCCTTACCTTTGACGACAAGATAAAGGTAAACAACACCGTATACCAAAACCAAAAAAACTACGTGAGGAAATCCCCGGGACCAGCGGTATCTGCGCTCTTAAATATAACAGACCACCAAGAGATACCAAGCCTGCCATACCTGCAGAAGATAAGCATAAAAAATCTGCGGGATATTGCTCAACTAGAGGAAGGGCTAGTAAGAAGGCCAATAGTATCTGGGCTAACCGTGGCCATCCTTTTACTCTCCTGCTACGCTTCGATGAAACTCTATCAAAGACATCAGAGGAACAAACGTCAACGTGATCTTCAAACATTAATTAACAGTTTCAAGAAAGCCGAGGACGTCATTCATCTAAGTGGGGGAGGAGTTAACACAATCGACCAGCAAAACATAAATGTTCAGATTGATCACGCGCCGTCAGCATGAATGTAGCCGTTCCCAGCGGATATTGCACAACAGCAGCAGTGGCTCCAACGCGCAACAATGTTGTTGCCCGAAGTAATGCGATGCCTCGCGTAAATATGCAATGTCAGCATAATCAGGGTTTAGGGCTAGCTTTGGATATAAGAATTTATGTCACTGTACTTTAGTTGATTTTTGATAATAAAGAACGTCGGTCGTCGCCACGGGATTATTGAAGTCTACTCATTTTGTGCAACACCGCACACTAACATCTAACAACTACAGCAAAAAAGCTTAATTTACATATTAAAGTTCCCAAATTATTAGCAATGCAATAGTGAGTGGCTCGTAGCTCATTTATTTATTTTTTACATGCTGCCTGTGTAAATAGAGCACATAGGGAAATATGGCCTGCCATCGTCTACGACTTTCGGCTTGATATGCCCTATAAACTGCGTTCCGAATATAATTTTCCTCGGGACTATAGCCCCAACCATCTAAATTGGCTTTCAAAGGTCCAGTTAGCACATATTTTGACAGCCAATGTTCATTCTTAAGGATTGCTCTAACCTCCCGCAATAGGGCATATGCATTAATTGTCTGATTGAAGAAATATAAATTGGTATTCGTGGGATGAGTTTTCTTTGCGGGGAAACAGTAAAATTTATAAAGATTGGGTTGATTTTCCCTCCTAATGGTTTCCATGCCAAACCATTCAATTGGATACTCGCCATCTGCCATGTCTTTAGGTATTGGATTTATCATTAAGAGTTGCCTTAAATAATCTTTATAGTCGGCATTCAAATTTCGTATGTTATTTTTCATTTTAGCCCCTTCATGTTCTAAGGCCTCCGACTTATCTCCTATAGCTAATATCGTTGAATTCATTGCTGTAAATATGTAAGATGTTAGTTAATTATATTTAGAGAAACGTTCATTAATTCTTACTTTCATCCATTTGTACTTTTAATTTAGATATAATAATTAATATATATATATTTTTAATCCTTAGACTATATTTGTTGAAAATGAACACAGAGGTTGACAACAGGTCTTTATACTTTGTGCTGTATTTATATACTAAATTTGCCGCAGAATATATGATTTCATAAGAAAGCTTAGAAAGCTCAATTACAGCTTTTGAAAGAGATACCTTTGTACATACATATATACATTCTAATATCTACTCTGCGATTTCTCAAATTAAGTTCAAGTTCAACATTTTTTACTTTAAGCCCAGAAAATAAATTTAATACTAAATTGTTCATATATATCTACGAACAGAGTATCATATTGTATGCAATTGTCTTTAAATTTATCTTGTTCAATAGTTGTCACTTCAAACAAATCCATTTTAACGTTTGTATTGGCCGGAGCCAGAAGGTGCTCGATTTCCCAATAAGAGTTGACCAAAATGCTTTCTACAGTCATCCAAAAAAAACTTGTTTATCGAATTCTATTAAGGGCTTCTTTGGCTTAAAGTGTTCTTCCTGATTTCCGATGGATAACACTTTCACTTCTGATGCTAACAAAGCTACAGCTGAAAATAAGTTAACTTTAATATGAGACAAATAAATAAAAAGAGAAATTTTAGCCTACTCATTATTGTTGTCCATAATTGATTCAGTTTTAGTTTCATCCATTATCTTGGCATTATGCATCGTTTTCAATACAGTTATATTTCTTTTTATATAATATATCTTACAAAGAGCATATACTATTGGATGGAAATGCTTATATAGAAAATAATTTTACGGTTCTTAAAATCTATTCTTATGCCTTTCACGTACATATTCTTGGTGTAAATATAGCAAAAACTTAAATATTTTGAATTTCTGTTCTTGGATGATGCCAACAATCATATTGTGAATGTAATATTCGTCTGCAAAGCGATAGGTCGACCGAGTAAGATCCGTTCTCCTTGGCAATACCAATGTATTCTTCGATATCCACTTTTTGTCCTTCAGGCGGCTTCTCAATTCGTGCATTACTTCGTCGGCATACAGGGTCTGGCCGAATACGCCATGCTCCACATACTTACCCGGGGAACCACCAATATTACACTCAAACTGATATCGTCTGGGTTGATCGTCTTCCTCAATTGTTTTCATTTCGAACAAATCCATTACAAACCAATTATTGGACGCAAGGGGCGTTTTACTACCCAATAAGAGTTGACCAAAATGCTTCCTACATTCATCATAAAAGATTTGTTTATCAAATTCCGTTTCCATCGGCTTTTCTGGCTTCAAGTATTCTTCCTGATTTCCAATGGACAACACTTTGACTTTTGACGTCACTAAAGCTACAGCTAAAAGAAATCTAACTTTAATATTCTAAATTGGAATATAGAAACTGTAACTTACTTGTTTCTGTCTTATCAGTATTGGTATCCGTTAGTTGTTCTTCATCAGTCTTCATCATTTCTTCGGTATTATTTATCACAGTTAGCTAGAAAAGCACTACGATAATTCAGTATCATTCTCGTTCGCCAGCATAAATACACTGAATGAATGAAATACAAACATTTCATAAAAATGCGTTGAAAGCTCCTACGAAGCTTTTTTGCATGGTTGCATTACGAAGTGCCGAAACGAAAAAGCGCAGATCAGAAGCTATGACGTCACAATGTATGAATATATTATATATTACATGTATTTAAGAAATTATATATTTATTTACAATAGCTCAAATATAATCAGTTTAATATAGTATCAAGTTTTGTACAGAATTGGTACTTTTTTAAAATAATTATTATTTATTTTACTTTACTGAAGGTATTTATTTATGCCTATTTCTATGTAAGAATTGCAGGAACCTAAAGAGTTTCGGCGCTTCTGTGTTCAGAGCATCCGAAACAACTTGCTGAATGAATTGATCGGAGCTGTGGTATAGACTACGATCGAATTTAGTTCTGAGAGGTGTTTCAATGACGTTTTCTGATATCCAATTCTCACCAATTAGTCGATTCCTTACAACCTCCATGATTGCCTTTCCATCGAATACCGGCTCAGAGAAAATATCACCCGGCTTGTAAATATTCCCATGCACCAGATAAAAATGATAGCGCCTGGGTTGTTTATCTTTTTTAATACTAGTTACTCCAAATCTATCCACTCTATTCCAATCTTCAACAACTTCGATGGCTATTCGGCTCCCAGTTAAGAGCTGGCACAAATGTTTTCTGAAACTCTCTTGTAAAATATCCGCGTTACGATTCTCAACAGATTTTTCACTCGCTGTGCTTTCGTCATCTCCAATTGATAATACTTTTTGAGTATATGTCAATTTAGCTATGGCTGGAAATGTGCATCATAAAAATCAGATATCTTCTATCTATCTTCTAAAATGCTCGTATTACCTGACTTTTCTTCAATTTCTGTTTTATTGATTTCCATGTTTACTTTTCGCTTACGTTTACACATATGCATCTCACTTTGAAATCGTATTGCTATTTATTCGTACATGTACATATATATATGTATGTAAGCTACTCTCTTAAAGCTTTTCGTATCATTATTATTTTTTTTAAGTTTGTTGTTTACATCCAACAGCTGTTCGCTTGAGCTTACAGTAATGTTTTCGTGTAGATATATTACGTCCTCAGAAATGAGAGATCTGTAAGTTTGTTGTTTTGCTTATATTAATGAAAATTTTAAAATATACATAAAGTACAGCTATTATTTAATTTATTTACGATACTTCTTATTTTGTACATGTTCTCTGTGACAGTACAACAGGTACGGTAATGCCTTCCTTCTCTCAATATCGAAGGCCTTAGAAATAAAAGTTTCAATATGAGTTTGCTCAGAGCTAAAGGCACTAGGAGTTAGTTTTGCCTTCAGTGGCCCCATTAAAAGATGTTTAGACATCCAACGTTCCTCCTTCAAAAATCGCCTAACATCGCGCAAAATGGCATTTGCATTAATTGTCTGGTAGAAGTAATATACATTAACGTGCTTAGGTTGGGTTCTCTGTGCGGGAAAACAGTAAAACTTATAACAAGTAGGCTGATTCGCTTTGCGGATAACTTCCATTCCAAACCATTCAATGGGACACAAGCCGCTGACATCGTCGACTGGCGTTGGATTTCCCATCAGAACTAAACTCAAATAATTGGTGCATTCCTCTTTAAATTGTTTTACCTTGTTGGAATTATTATTATTATTTTTAGTATGTTCCGGGCTTGGGCAATTTATGACCTCTGTCGGATTTCCTATGGCCAAAACTTTTGTAGTCGATGTCTGTGTCGCCAGAGCTTTAAATGGTAAACAATTGGAATTTTATTTATATATTTACTTTTTTTCTTGTCTTGCAATACACGAAATTTCAATTACCATTTTTATCTTCTATCTCGTTTTCGATATTCATATTATTTATTATTATTGTAATTTTGGAACTGCTCGGCTTGACTATCTGTAGCTTTCTTATTGGCAACAGTCTTCGATGACGCTATATATACACTGCAGCCGGCCAAATACTAATCGTTAGTAATTTCGCAACTGTGGCAAAAGCTTTCAATTAAAGCTTTTCGTTTCAGCTAGATAAAGCTGCAATACACTTTTATGCTATCAGATTGGTCTTCATATATTAGAATATTATCGATAATTTCTGTGTAAAAATATTATGAAATTAAGCAACCTTTTCCATTCTGCATCAAGTGCTTCCGCAACAATATTTTGAATATACAAATCGGATTCGAGGCGAAAGCCACCATTACCGTTTGTTTTCAGTGGAGCTTCTATGGTATCCTCAGATATCCAGGTTTCCTCTTTTAGTCTATTTTTCACATATTTAAAAGCATCCTTTGCATTGAATGTTAGGCCAGATATAATCATATGAGATCTCCAATCGTTGCCTTTTAGACAGTAAAAACGATATTGACTGGGCTTATTATTTTTCATAATACGAGCCGCACCAAAGTTATTCACTGAACTCCCTATTACAATAGGCTCGAGGGGACTTTTAATACCCGTTGTTAGTGCACACAAACGTTTTCGAACAGCATCATGAAATGAGTTTTCCTTGTTTTCTTCTGACTTGTCTCTAATTAGGTCTTCGTCATCTCCAATTGACAGTACCTTGGTCTCGGGCTTGATTGCGGCTACAACTGCAAATAAAACAAATTAGATGTGATGAATTTGTTATACAAATTTCAGTTATTCATCAAAATGTATAAGCAAGTGTATTGATAGAGAATTACTTTATTTTACTTTCAAATTACCTGAGGTCTCTTCAATTTCCGTATTACCGCTTTCCATTACTGTTTTTATAGACATCAACAAATCCAACACAGCTGACTGACTGAAGCGTGAAAACTAACTTTGTGACTGTCAGAAAGCTTTTGGGTTAACTTGAACTTGAAGTTAAAAAGCAGAGATCATGAAATATAAAAAGCTCACCAAAAGCTTCCTAATTGTTGACATTGAACAGCTGTTCACCTGAACGTTTGTGGATAAGCAAAATAAATAAACAAATAACAAACCAGCCCTCAGCTATGATACAAACTAAATATTTGATCTATTTTTATTGTAAATGAATAAATTTAATATAAAAAATATATTCTACAATCAAATTCATATTAGTTATAGTTTAATAATGACTCAAATAAAAGCTTTCAGTTTTAGCCAAAATAAATACAATTAACTATGATAAAGCTTTTATGAGTCAGTGTGATTATTGACAGTCAGTAAATCATTCCATTTCTATGCTTAATTAATACATGTACACAAAATTTTATCGAGTACTTATTTATAATTTCTATGTAGATATTGCACGAACCTAAAGATTCTTGGCGATTCTCCATAAAGTGCTTCGGAAACAATTTGTTGTATATACTGATCGTAGGCGTACGGCTCACTACCAAGTTTGGCTTTGAGCGGTGTTTCAATGACATTTTTGGATATCCAATTTTCTTCTTTTAATCGATCCCTGACAACCTCCATGATGGCATTTCCATCGAAGACAGGCCCAGAAATAATCTCACCCGGTTTGTAATTGTTACCATGCAGAACATAAAAATGATAGCGCCTGGGTTGATTACCTTCCTTAATGCTAGCTGCGCCAAATCTATCTACTTTATCCCAATCAGGGACAACGTCAATGGGTGTTCGGCTCCCAGTTAAGAGCTGACAAAAATGCTTTCTTAAGTTCTCTTCCAGAATATCTGTGTTGCGGTTCTTTTCCCTCGCTGGGCTTTCGTCGTCTCCAATTGATAAGACTTTTGTCTTGGACGTTAATTCGGCTACGTCTGAAAATGGATATTATAACAATCTGCTTTGTTTGTTGTATTGAAATCGTTGTAGTACCTTTTGACTTTTCTTCAACTTCTATATTGTTATTTTCCATGTTTATTCTTCACTTATTTCTCTTACAGTACAAAAGCTAAAGAGACCGCACAGCTGACTGGCTGAAACGCCAAAACTAAGTTTGTGACTGGCAAAAAAGCTTTTTATTAGAGAGCAGAAATAGTGTCGGACTACCAATTTCGTAACAAATATATGAAAGCTCTGTAAAAGCTTGTGTTGTTTTCAATTAAATTGTTTATATCTAACAGCTGTTCTGATTTGCGCGCTTTCTACGTATCCACAAGAGGTAGATCTAAAACTAGAGAGTAAGAGTACTTGTTTTGCTCGTTTAAAAGATATACGAATGTATTTATTTAATAATTTATAAAAATAATGTAAATTAAACTAACATATGGAGTAATCTAACATATGGAGTATTGAGGATTTACGATTCGGCATGTAGCGCTCTGTCGAACAGAAGCTGAGCAACGAGCATGGGATATTAGAGAATGCAATAGAAAATTGCTCTCAAATCTAAGCGTAGCAACACATATAAACTTAATAGAATAGATGACCGAATTTACGAAGTGGTCTCCACTTGTTCTTGAAACGAAATGAACGCATGTCGATACAACGCGAGCAGCACTCCGAAGCGAAAATTAAATTAATTTAAGTGAAATTAAAACAGACCTACTGTTATTATTTAATCTATTATTAAATGTGTATGAAATATTCAAAATATTTATATGAGTATATATGTACATATATATTGAAAATTAAATAATTTCATTTAACTGAAGTTTGGAGTGTTACTTCTTAGGGATTAATTATTCAAATAAAAATTAATAGTAAAATTTTATAACGCTTGCTTTGTATCATAAAAAAAAAATTAAAACTTAAATGAAATGAAAGATTTAATTGCAATATACAAGGAGAGCATGTTGACATTATGTTACTTACGTATGTATATGTATAAGAACATAAAGTAAAGGATTTTGCTCTTTGAGTTTAAGACGTTGTGATTCCATCAACTAGTTCTCCAAGCCGTTTTGAACATCCCCAACCACTTGAACTCAAACATGTGTGCTCTTCATAGATTGTCGTAGCTTATCGCAACTCACTCAGAGAGTATACAAACATTTCTTTTAGTCTCAAAGTATATTCTCTGGATGTCAAATTTGCACTTAGCATTAAGTAGAGTTAAGTCCCTCGACTCTGGCTGTCAAATCTCTTAGATTTCTATTAGCAATGATACTAATACAAATAAAGTATACTATAGGATAGTCATATATGCTGATTTAATACTAGTCTCTGTCTTCTATTCATCATCCATTCACTAATTGCCAGAGACATGAAAATTTGATGACGGCTTTAAAGGCTGAATGGAGTCTTTATTTGATTTACTATTTTGATTACTTTGCCAAAAATCTATATGTACCGTAATTACACTAAAACATATTTAAGCCTTCACACATACATATACACATACACCCACACACACAAACAGAAGCTTTAAGTTCGTACCATGAGGTTTTTGCCAGTTGGGGGGCCTTGTCCTTGTCATGTCTCGCTTCGTTATCTCCCATTGTCGTGATTGTTGATGTTCTGTTGTTGTTGTTGTTGTTGTAATTGTTGTTATTGTTGCTGATATTGCCGTTTTGGCGGTAACAACAATAACTACTGTAAAAGTACACACATCGACTGCAAGCGGTTTGAAAAGGCGCTTTTCCATTGACCTTCGCGTGTGGAAAATGCCAGCTTTTTTCCCTTACTTTTTTTTTTTTTTTTTTTTGTTATTTTCATTTTGTTCTCTGTCATATATCCGAGCACCCACACAAAGGCTCTCACACACACACACACACACACACGCAGACACAATCGAAGTGCTGAGAATAATCGCCAAGGCCCGAATTTGACATATGATGTGCCTGCAGCTCCGCTGTGTGCCAAATACATTTATCAATACTTGTTTTTGTTTTGTTGGGCTTTCTTTTTTCCCCCCTTTTCCCTATTTTTTTGGCGAATTGAAATACAAAACTAACGCAAACTGTCACACTATCTGCCCAGGCGTCTAACCAGCTTGAGCTACACCCCGATGAGTCCACCCCCTGCCCTTGGAGCCGGTCATTAGCATTTTTGGCGTGTATTTACGGCCGCAAAATATTACGCCATAAACATGACAGCAAAACAAAATGCGACAAATTTGCTACGCCCCGCTCAACTGACGAAAAGAAGTGTGCAAGGAAGAGAGAGAGAGAGAGAGAGTGTGTGTACCGGGCGTTTGTTGAATGCCCTCAAATTTATGCCACCCCACCGCGAGTAATATAATTGTCACATTTATATGTAGAAAGCTGTTGGCAGATAGTCCAATAGAGAGAGGGAGACAGAGTGAGAGAGAGAGAGAGGGAGCACAGCACAAAGTAGAGCGCAGCCAATTGGTATGAGCAACCGAAAAGTGTTGTCTTACGCTCAATTTGAGGCAAGGCACTAGGCACTAGACACTCTTGGCTCTATTCAATTGCAATGCGTTACGAGGACAGCTAAGCGAAGGATGTGGAGCAATGCACAACTCACAAATACCCTAACTGACATAAATGAAAGCAGACTAAGGCGATGCAAGTTGCACAGGGAGAAAAGCGGAGCTACTTAATCTAATTCTAAGATGATATAGGTAATGATAATATGTATTACGTATATTAATATAATTATTAATTATAATATTAATTACATTAATATTATTATTAATTTTAATATTGTCTATATTAATAAATTAAAATATTAATTTCAATTTAGAAAAATTACGCACATATAGAACTTTTTATTACTAAATTTAACAAACATAAAAATTGTATAAAATTGATATGAATATTTATATTACCTAGATTTTTATTTTATCATGATATTCCATTTTCCATGGGGTCCAGGCTATAAAAATAAATAATTTGTAGGTTCTTAACAGATTGAACAGTAAAATAAACTGCTATATAAATATATCATATAATTGAGTTCCCACACTTACCAGTTGTATTCGCAAGATGAACAAAATCTTGTTGTCCTCCATTAACTTTATCTCTACTATAGTTCCTTTTCACCCATCCAGCCACAGCCTGCTTGAGTATACTTCCAGGGTATATCAATATGTCATCAAAATCACTTAATTATATAGATTAGTTTTTATTTTGTTCTCGCTTTTGTTATGCGGCTTTCAATTGATTGATGATTACCAATATTTTGTTGACTACTAAAGCGGCTCTGTCTTGGCATAATGCCAAACGCATTAAATAGTTAAGCTACCCACTTAGCTCTGGCCATAACAATTGCATAGTTGTCGGCGCTTGGGGTCTGTTCAAAAAGTAAAGTTTATTTTTATGCTCAACGTCGACGACGTCGGCGACATGTGTGCAAATGTTAACACACAGTCAACACACACACACACACAGACACACACACACACGCATACACACGCATACTCATAAAGAGAACAGAAGTGGGGCTTAGCCCGACACATCAACACACTCACACGCACACTCAAAGTGAAACAAATCAACTCTGTTTTGGCGCCATGCGGTGCTCCTCAGCCCTACTCTGACTCTGACTATGGCTATGACTATGGCTATGGCTATGGCTGTGGCTGTGGCTCCGGCTTTGGCTGTGCACTTTTTCTAGCCACAACAGAAAGAGCCATCGACAACGCAACTCGACCAGAAACCGACCAGACGCGGGGCCAACAACAACAGCAACGACAACAACAACAACAACAACTATACAAATTTTCTTCAGTTCCTTCGCCATTATTGTGTGTTGTTTAGTGTGCCATTGACGCTGAATGCTAACGGTTCGCGTTGCCTGCCTGCCGCCGCCAAAGCGCTGACAAAATATTAAAAAAAAAATACAAAATAAACGTAGCACAACTAGTTGGGCCAAGTGTAAAGCGCTTAATAAGCCCTAACTATAACAACTATTTCCGTAAATCACTTGGCATTTCAATTGAGATTCTAATCGACGAATTTGATTTGCATTGTGTAATCTCCATTGGGTTGCTTGCATTTTGAGTGCATTAACTAAAAAGTATTTAAAGAGAAATCAGGAATATTATTAAGTGAAATCGATTTTTAGTTGCGGCGGCCCGGCCATGTCGTTTCTGTCGCCAACGCTGCGCATGGAAAATCTGTCAACGGTGCCCATCATGAGTCTGGATCATGTGCCCGAGGCGCAGCGCTACAACAAAGACAACATCGTCGCCCAATGGTGTGCGCCCATCAATGGCAAGGTTCAAATCAATTCCCACTAAACAATCTAAGCCCCTCTGCATGTTGATTAACATTTAATTAACTTTTATTCGCTCTCTCTCTCTCTCTCTATCCTCTGCTCGCTCCCAGATGTATCGCATCGAACTGGAGCACGGCACCACAAGTGGACGCCGCATGATCTGGGTCAATGGTCGGGTAAGTGGTGAATGCACTTTCCCAGCACGCCCCAAATAACACGGCAATTAGTCATGAGGCCACGAAAAAAAAAAATAAATGAATCGCTATGCATGTTTTAAGTTATGCACTTATATTAAATTGGTGAACTACACTTTTCTATAATTTGTACGACAAAAGTTTGGGTAATTCAGTTTAACTGTGGGCTAATTTCTAATAACACTTTGAAGCTATTACAATAATAGATAGCATTGTTTTTTATGAAAATTCATCATAAAATGTCAAAGTTCACAGAAAACTCAACTGCAGTGAGTGACGGAACTATTTAAATGTGGAGATAGAGACCAAGGTTGTGAAGGAAAACTTTTCTATTCTAAATAAAACAACGGAATCATATAAAGTTATAACATTTTCCTATTCAAGTTCAACTAAAGTGATTCCTGAAGGGATATCAATTGTTATTTTAATAAGTCGACTTAAACTTTTTTATTGCTTTTACATATATAAAATTAAAAAAAAAAAAAAAAACTGCTAAAGACCAGAAGAGATTCAACTTTGTAAAATATTACAAACAATACATATTAGCCATTATATATATTTTATCCAGAAATTTCAGTCTATAAAGATTTAAAGTTGAAAGTTTTAAAAGCTTTTTAAAAAGATAAAGTATATGTTTAATCTAGAAATTTTATTTAACATTCAAGCATTATTGACTAAAATTCATGAAATAAAAAAATATATATATATTTTAATTAAAATGCATTTTTTAATACATATTTCAAAAAGTTAAATCTCTTTTCTAAAAACAGGAAAAATTGTAGTCTTCCAAGTTTAGTCTTTACTTGATTTTTTTTTTTTTAATTTTATATAATATAAAGTAAAAATTTGCTAATCAAAGTGGTAATACCAAGAAATACATTATTGATATATAAATTTATATCTATAAATTAAATTTTTTTTAAATCCAGAAGTCTAAAAATATTTTTAAAAATAACAAAAATTCTCTGTTATTTTTGGCTAAAAATCTTATTTAATAAATCTTTAAAGATTTCTTGGGTAGGTTGAAAGTTCCTAAAACATTTTAAAAATATAAAATAATATATATTTTTTTAATCAACAAATACTCGTTAATAATGATTTCAAGCGAGACCTGTAGATTTTTGCTGTAGATTCTGAGCTGAATGGGATCAATCTGTCATTATATTATCATACTATTTCCCTACAGAAATATAACGTACATATATTTAATTACTTATTTAATAATGCTCACCAACATTTCAACTAAATATTTATATGTATGTATAGATACATAAAATAAAGCTTAAGTATATGTTTTGACATCCCTTTACTTGCTGCACGGTATCTCTTAGTCCAGCATTGCCAAAGAAAACTGTCTCCCTTTCTCTTTTTGTTTAACCTCTCTTCATTGCAATTTGCTGACTTGCAAAACTATAGAAAATCTGAGTCAAACAAATTACACACATGAAGCCCTACTATTAGTTTAATTGGAAAGGTTTCAGATTCTCCACTCTTGTTAATCCTCTGCCTCTGCCCGCTTGACTTTTGCAGGAAGTGCTGCGTCGCGATTGGATGTTTAAATTGGTGGGCGAGGATACGTTTGATATCGATCAGGCGCGCTGCATTATACGGGTCGATCCAGCGCCAGGCTTCAAGTACGAGTATTCACTGTACATAGACGGCAAACCGCATGCCCAGTACACCGAGGAGCTGACACGTCAGTATCGCCTGTGGCTCTGCACCTGTGGCAGCGGCAGCGGCGGCGGCGGCAGCGAGCAGGCTGGGTCAACGGATGCGTCGCAGGAATACCGCATTATGCTCAAGCTGGACACGCTGAGTTTGTATGTGAACGATGAGCTGCGCGAGGAGACGGTAAGTGAACCGGATGCAGGCCGAAAAACGAGGCTGCCTATCAATCACGTCTCCCCTCGCTTTACGCTTTGCAGGCCGTCTTTGTGGAGGGCGGCACCGACACCAGCTTCGTGCTGCAGGACACACCATTTGTATTGCAGGCACGCTCCAGCGGCAACAAACACGACGGCATCGTTCACACACTGCTCGTTAACGGGGTGCCCGTGCCGGAAGCAAAGATACAGCAAATCATGCAGGAACCCGTCTCCATACTGCAAACTAACTGAAGTCTCCTAGTAATCAGAAACCAAAAACAAAAAAGGGATCACAATTTGCATTTGTTCATACATCCTGCGGCTAATATGCAAATGTTAATTGCAAATGTTTTATATCCCAACCCCTCCCAGCCCCTCAACATAATGAAGTTGAAAGTGTTAAAAGTTTTACTTACACAATAATTTATTCGTTCGTTTATATGCATAATTGTAACGCAAATCGCAAATCGTTTACGTTCTCAATTTCATTTGACATTTTGCTAGCATTCAAAGTACTCAAAGTGCATTTAGTATAAAAATGAGAAAACACAAGATACAAATAACAGATGAATAAATAAATGTATCAAAAAACAGCGTGTGGCAATAGGCATACAAATATTACTAAAGTCAAAAAATATATATGTATTTGTATATTTTAACAAAATAATCAAAGAAAAAAAATCTAAGTGTAAACATATTACTGTATAAATATAGTTGTTTAGAAAAGTTTTGCCGTCTGTAATTTAATTTGAAGTTTTGGAAAACTTTTTTGGAAAATTCCTTTTAGATTTAAAACCATTTTTTTTCATTTATCCATTCATATGCTGACTCTACATTTCATTTTGTTTACAATTAAAATATGTGCATACTAAATTTATTCAGTGTATCGACTTGCTTTTTATATAAATGATTTACTATGTTACGCTTTAATTGATTGTTTGCTATTATTTCTGTTTAATTGAAAATATGCTGTTGGAATCTTTGTATTTGTGTTTAATAATTTTAAATTGCTTAGTGTTTTGTCACTTTGAATACAATTAACAATTTAACATTTTTTTTTTTTTTTTGTTTCGTTTTAATTTGTTATGTATCTTTTTTCAAAAATTGTTGTAGATAATTAAAAACACAATTCATTTAACCGTTCATTAAATTTAAAGCAACACAATGATATTTTGTTTAATTACTAATTTAATTCTGTTTTTCTTTCGTTTTCGCTTGCTTGTAATATGTCTACTCATTTAAGGGTTATAAAAACATAATTTACAATTTTATTTAAATATATATAAATATATATATATATTAGTATTAGTATTAATATGTTAAAAACTCACGCAGTGCCAGAAATATTGGAACCATTTTCTAGGGTACACACACAAAATTCGCGTGCTTTGAAAATAATTCAATTTTGATTTGTTTCACAACGAGCAATAAATTTTGGGACATGAATACAAAATAATCGTTTTATTGCTTGCTGAAAATCTCATACTTATATGTAGTTTACAATAATTTAACAACAATTCGTGTATAGTAAGTACAATGTGTGGAATGTGTGGGTTGGAAAACGTAAAGTTTCTAATACTTAACAAAAACAGAAAGAAATATTGCCAGTAAACGATGCACGATGACGATTTTTGTGTAAACTTTTTATAATAATACAGAAAATACATAAATTATCATTTGCTTAGAAATATATATATATATATATATTTATATTTATATTTTATATATATATATATTTTTTTTTTCTTTAGAGCGATTCAACATTTGTTCCTGTCATCAAATTTTGATAATTAATTTTATTTGCTTTTGATAATTTTTGCCAGTTCGATTAGGTCTAGACTTTAATGCATTTACTGCTTACACACATAATCAATTTATCATTATCAATTTGTTGTTGTTGCTTTTAAAAACCGTTCTGCTTACTAACACTAACACACACATACATTTTACATAATAATTACGCGCTTAATTATAATCGATTGATTTTCCTTTTCTTTTGTCAGTAGTTTATCTATCTGTTTTATTTTTTTATTTATTTCTTTTTCGTTTTTGTTATTTGTAGTAAAATTAAATGTCTCGCTTTTAAATATTTAAAAATTATATGTATGTGTGTATATATATATATTTTGTTTAGATGCGTATGTATGTATAATTTTGTAGATTTATTAGCTAAAAATTTTGTTGCATACTTTTTTGGGTGAACGTTGCTGAAAGTCTTGCATTGAGTTATGAAATGTTCTCTGTTGCTGTTGTATTAATATTATTATTATTATTATTATTATTATTATTATTATTATTATTATTATTATAAATTTCTCTTCATGTTGCATGCATAGATTTTGCCTAGCTTGCCTAGGTGCTTAAATAGTAAAGTAATCATTTGTAGTTTAGTGTAATACTCGCAGCTTGTGACAGTTTTCATTTCATTTCTTTTCGATTTTTTTTTTTCTTTTTTCTTTTTGGTATGAAAGTAGTTTGCTTTAAGACATTTGTTCTTTATGTAGAAGATTATAACTGTTTAATTTTTTAAATATATATTTATTTTTGTTTTGTTTTTATTTTTTGCTTTTTGTGTTTTATATATTTGAATTATTTTTGTTGCACTTTCTAGCTGTTGTTGCTGTCTGCTATCTGCTGCTCGTGTTGCTGTTCAATATCTAATTCGTTATTTTAATTAGTTCAATGGAAGGCAAAACATGTGCTGTAGTAGACTTTTATTATTATTTGCTTGCATTTGATTATTATGATTGTTATTGTTACCATTATGATGATGTTGCTGCTGCTGCTGCTGCTGTTGCTGCTGTAATTGTTGCAATTGTTGCTGTTGTTGCTGCTGCTGGTATGGATGATATTGCTGCGCCTGTGGCAGCTGCTGCTGTTGCTGCTGGCGATAGTGTTGCTGCTGGCTTATATTATTATTGGTATTGGCTGCGCCTCCCGCACTATTCAAATGCAGGAGACTCAAATCGTCAGCCACAGAATCATAATCACTGGAATCCTCGCCATAAAGCTGCAATAATACAGATTATTAGTATATATATATTTTAAGAGTTGCAAAATCTATATATGTATAAGAATATCTATATATAAGAAACATAGCTCGCAAATAACTGTTGACTGTCTCTGACTGACCGACAAAAAAAGTTTGAGAGCAACCAATTGCTTCGGTTCTTCAACGAGTTCGTTGGAGATCGGACAGAAAACTTTTTTCCGCTCTGATTTTTCCCTCGCTCTCATTGAACGAACGCCAATCGTATCGTTTCCCAATTAATGTTCGTGAAAAGAGCGCCACACGAATAGTTCAGCTCCAAGCGCTCAACAGAAAAACGAAAAGAAACGAAGGCTCTAGCTCAGAGCAAGAACGATTGAATATGATTCTTGTGTTGATTTCTCGAACAGAGCGTAAAGAGTATAACGGCGCAGTGATATTCGGTGAGCTATGATTAGAAATTACTATTAAATTTATGTAGTTTTTTTTTTTTTTTTCTCTTAAGCTAATTTTCTTATTTTTCGTAATAATACCAATCAATAAATTAATTTAATTTCAGCATTTTATAAATTTATTTTAATATTAATATTTAAATTCTAGTTTAATTTGATAAATATACTCAATGTAATTGCTCGATTTTTTTAGACTTTCTATATATTTTTATTTTTATTTTATTATTATAGAATTCATATTTATGTAATTTATTTTTTTATTTATTTATTTTTTATTTTATTTATATTTTATTTTATTTGATTATATTCTATAGATTTATAACCCTTTTTTTTTAGATTTTATATTAAAAAACTATTATTTTAATTATTTGTGTCATAAATTATTTATATCATAATTTTTAAATTCAATATATCAAAAAAGCTAACTTGTAAATTCTAATTTAAATTGATAATTATATTTAATTTCAGTATTTTATAAACTTTATATTGTACTTTATTTAGTCACCTGGGAACGCTCTATTATATTTCATACTGTACATACACCTACAATCGCTGACAATTCATTCTCTCTTTTTACTCCTTTCATTTTTCATACATGAAACATGCTAGATACATGCCCCACCTTTCTGTTCCACCTGTTCCTACTATTGTCGAGCAACATATGCAAATAAATGGCTAAAAGCGTTTTTGCAATCGTTGACTCAACCTACACCTCTTTTATTTTACTTTATGTAGTACATTGTAACACACAACAAACCCAATTTCGTACTACCTGCACATGTTAGCTAAATGAATATACCTGGTAAAGCTTTTGCAAAGAACTTTGTATGCTTGTCAAACAAACAGCTCGCAATTAAAGTTTATTTGAATGACATAAACAATGTGAGCGCACAATGGAACTTGATATAAGAAGAGCAATTGCTGAAGAGTCTAAATTAAAATAATGAAGCCAGGGTTGCTTTAAGACTAATAGCCATTTAAAATAATTTAAAATCTACAACAAAGAGAAACTAGAACTTGTTTAGTCAACAATCAGTAAACATTCCAAAAACTTTTCGATCTACATAGCCTTGGAAAACAATTCCGATCCCTAATGGAATTCATTAAATATTTATTTTAAGACTTTACTTAACCAAATTTGATATCGTTTATCTCTCACTTACACGCATATTATACGGATGCAAATCACACGTCTCGTGGTGTCAGACGCAATCCTCCAAGGACATGAGCAAGGGGTTGACATACTCAAAGCCCTCGAATTCCGATTGATCGATGTTGCCAATGACATGGCTAATGGGAAAAGAACAATTTATTAGTGAAATTCAAATTTGAGTGCTTGTTAAATTATCAATGTCGAATTGGATAGAAAGGAATACCAAAAATGAAAAAGAAAATAGAATGGGAAAAACTTACTCATCATCTGGAGTCAGCTGCACTGGTTCGCCCGTAAACTCGATCGGGAAATTGGCCAAATCACGATCAGAGTCTAGGCGTGGCTTGAATGGAGGCGAAACCTGTTTGCGTTCGAGCTGCATGAGGTTGAAATTGGCATGTGTTTGGTGGTGCGTATATTGAGATAGAGAGAGAGAGTGTATGTGTGTGTGCGCGCAGGATATATATGCAAAGATAGTAAAAATAATATGATTATAGCTAAAGATAGTGCCAGCCAATTTCGGCAAACGTAAAAATCAAATTCAATAAGGCTCAGGACACATTTCAAATGCATGTCCGTGTGAGTTCTATGTGTTTGTGTGTGTGTGTGTGTGGGTGTCTGTCTGTGTGTGTTTTCATGATGATAATGATGATAAGTAGATAGAGCGAGCGGGG